AAGGCCCTAGGTTCAATTCCCAATAGTTTCAAGAAAAAAAAGGGGGGAGGGAGGGGAGGATTCCTGAATGTCTGTGAGAAGGAACATCATAGACTTGACCTGCCTTTCCTGATATTGTCCTTTGCCTTGAATCAGAAGTCACTAACTCAGATCTAAATTTTGAATTTTAACCATAGTTCACATTGGGCCCTGACCGCAAAATCTAATCCTTTACCATTGGCCTTGCTGCCTCTCCTGATCTGAACAGCAATTAGACTTCTTAAAGGAGGGGACCTGGGTTACTATACATTCATTGCCTGATATCTCTGTTCACTTGATAAGTTGACTACCCTGGGCATGGGACACATTTGAAGATCCTACAGGTGTCTTTCTCATTCGCCTTCTAGGACACTCAGTGGGAGAACCCCAGCTAGAATGTGAGAGCTGCGAGCTTCTGGTCGTCTGCTGGGGGTTGGAGAAGCTGAGGGTTTTTCCTGGGGGTGTCTACTGAGAATGGAACTACCACCCAAACAACAGCCTTAAACTGGGCATGGTAGTACATTCTTGGGAAGTAAAGGCAAGAATTTTCAAGAGTTCAAAGTCATCCTTGTTCACAGAGTTTGGGGCCAGGGTGGGCTATATGAGACCCTGTCTCAAAACAACAAACAAAAAAACTGGGGATATAGCTTAGTCAGTAGAGTACTTACCCAGCATGTGCAAAGCCCTGGCTTTAATCCCCAACACTGCAGCAAAAAAACACCTATAATCTCAGCCCTCAGAAGGTGGAAGCAAGAGAATCATAGTTCAGCTAGATTGAGAGTTTAAAAATTAAAAAGTGGGAGGGAGGTAAGCTGGAGAGGTGGCTCATTAGAGGACCTGGGTTCAGTTCCCATCACCCACATGGTTACAAACAACTGTCCATGACTCCAGTTCCAAGGGATCTGACGCCCTCGTCTGGCCTCCCAGAGACATTGCATACATACAGTGCACTTACATGTAGGCAAAACACTTATACACACACACACACACACACACACACACACACACACACACACAAAATCAGCTTCCAGTTCTCCAACTTAAGCTGATCAGGATGTCAAGACTGCTCAACAGGGCAAGTTACTACCAGATAAAACCCATCTATACCTGCCTCTGCTTTGGTAGAGAGACCTGCTCTCCTGGAAGAGATCTCCATGGCTCCACTTGCTCCCACAGTGCCACAGTGTACTCTCCAGCCCTGGCCACTGTTCATTGATTGCTTTCGCCACTAGTCACAATCTGGTCATTCATTTCCACCAATGGAGCCCACTTCCTGTCTCTAGCTCTTTGATGGGTTCTAAAGAGCCAGAGAGAGAGAGAGAGAGAGAGAGAGAGAGAGAGAGATATCTGGGTACCGCCTGCCCCTAAAGGAAACAGGCAGAGCCAGGCCAAGGAACACATGCTTTCTTATCTGTGGCAGCAAGGTGCTCTGAGGGAGCCAAAGAACCTTTTGGATAAGCTCAGTTCAGACCCCATCTGGCTTTTAGAATACCTGGTTGGCCTTGGCTCTTCTTGAGGCCAATTCTTCCTTCCTCAGCCAATTGTACTGAGGACTTACTGAAAGTGTCAACTGACATTATACCTAACATGGTGGTACATCCCTGTAATTCCAGCACTCGGGAGACTGAGGCAGGAGAGTCTCAAGTTCAAAGCCAACTTGCACTACATAGTGAGATCCTATCTCAAAAAAACAAAACATGCTGGGTGTGGTGGCACATGTCTGTCTCCCAAATGCTACTTGGGAGGTGGAGGCTAGAGGTTCAGGAGGTCATCCTCGGCTACATATTGAATTCCAGATTCCAGGCCAGCCTGGGTTACAGGAGACTGTCTTAAAAAAAATCTCCGAGATTATGGAAGGGAATTGAAAGGCAGATCGGCTTTGGTGACAACTGGGGAGGCGTCAGATTATATTTATAGGTCTTTCAAAGGGGGGACCCATGGTCTGTGCAAGGGGGTGGGAGGGTAGTCAAGATACAACCAGAGAATCCTGGCATATTTACCCTGTAGTCAATATCAGGAAAAAAAAAAATCAAATCCTTTCATTGTGTGGATGCGGGGGCTGAAGCCCAGACTGGGGAAATCCATTTTGTTCAGGGTCTGGTGGTAAGGTAGCAGGCTCTCAGATTTCTAGTTCCCAGCCAGGGACCTTTGGATTGGAATCAAGGTGCCCTTTCTCGTCCTAACTCACTTTTGGAAAAAGTAAAATAAAATTAGCATCTCTATCTAGATGTCAGCCAAGAGCTACCAGCTCAGGCCCAAGGAGTGGTCCTCTAGAGGTGAAGTGGCCTCTCAGGCCTAGAGTTGGGGTGGTTGCGTTTTTCTCTCTCTCTCTCTATCTCTCTTGCATTTTTGTGTCTCTAATGATGAACTTATGCTACCGAACTTTTCCCTTTTCTCACACAACTTACCCTACTAAAGGAGGAAGTGCCACTTTATTGGTAAGTGGACGTTAACCAAGAGGGACTTAAAAAAAAAATCAGAACGTTTAACAAAAAAAAAAAAAAAAAAGTTGGGGTGGTTGCGTTTTTCTCTCTCTCTCTCTATCTCTCTTGCATTTTTGTGTCTCTAATGATGAACTTATGCTACCGAACTTTTCCCTTTTCTCACACAACTTACCCTACTAAAGGAGGAAGTGCCACTTTATTGGTAAGTGGACGTTAACCAAGAGGGACTTAAAAAGAAAAAAGAGGAAAGAAAAAAAAGAAAAAGAAAAGAGAGAAACAGAAAGACAGTCCGGTCAGCTACTGAACAATTCTTGAGCTCTCTGCAGGGCCACAAAACAAAGAAAAATATTAACAGAAAAAAAAAAAAAAATA